GGCCCAGAGACATATGAAAGGATGCTCAGCATCACTAGGCATCAGAGAAATGCAAACTAAAACTACAATGAGATACCACTTCACACCAGGTCAGAATGGCCATCATAAACAGATCAACAAACAACAAGTGCTGGCGAGGTTGTGGAGGAAAGGGAATCTCAGTACACTGTTGGTGGGAATGCAGACTGGTGCAACCACTGTGGAAAACAGTGTGGAATTTCCTCAAAAAACTAAAGATGGAACTGTCTTTTGACCTGGCAATTCCACTGCTAGGATTGTACCCGATGAATCCTGAAACATCGACTCAATAGAATTTATGCACCCCAATGTTCATAGCAGCACAACTTACAATAGCCACATGCTGGAAATAGCCTAAGTGCCCATCAGTAAATCAGTGGATCAAAAGACTGTGGTACATTTACACAATGGAATATATGCAGCAGAAAGAAAGAAGGAGCTCCTATCCTTTGTGACAGCATGGATAGAACACTAAGGGAAATAAGTCTTAGCATATTTGAAAGGCGGTAAAAGACAAATATCATATGATCTCATCTATAAGTGCAACCTAATTAACCAAACAAACAAATGAGCAAAATAGAACCAGAGACATAGAAATACAGAACAACGTGACAGTGACCAAAGGGGAGGGAGGAGGAGGATAACAGGGGAAAGAAGGTTCAAGTCAGGTACATGAATAAATTACCCATGGAGAAGGACAATGGGGGTGGATTGAATGTGAGAGAGGGCGATGGGCAGGGCAGGGGTGAGTAATGGTGGAAAAAGGAGAACAACTGTAATTGAACAACAGTAAAATATTTTTTTAAAAAAAGAAAATAATTTTACTACTCCTAGGATAGCCACCTCTCCCACACCCCAAAATTTTATTCTAAATCTTCCCACATTCTTCATTTTTCTTATTGCAATTCTCCCTCACAAACTCCACAGGGTAAACTCCTAATTCAGGAAGGAAACATAAATCCCTGTGAAAGAAATTCACTGAAGTATCCTTTCTTTCTTAAATTCGCCCATATTTCCATTCCTTCCAGATAATCTAATACTTTACCTTCTTCTCCCATTTGTGATTTTAACCCACCAAATCTTCCTATTTTTTTCTTAATATGTAATAGATGCTATAAGTCGGTATGGACTTAAAATCATACGTCTGTGTTTGAACACAAAGTACACTATTTACTAGCTATGTGATTTTAGATAATTCACTCAGCCTCACTAAACATCCATTTCTTATCTGTAAAACAGAGTGATTGGATTATCTTCTTGCCCTAGCCACTGTGGCTCAGTTGGTTGGGATGTCATCCTGTAGACTGAAAGGTCATGGTTGCAATTTCCATTCAGGGCATATACCCAAGTTTCAGGTTTGATCCTTGGTTAGGGAGCCTATGAAAAGGCAACCAATTGATGTTTCTCTCTTCTTTCTCCTCTCTCCCTTCCTCTCTCTCTGAAAAAAAAAAGTCCTCAGGTGAGAATAAAAAAAAATTTTTTTAAAAGTTTATCATTCTGTGGTATGGTCAATGATGAAATGAGAGAATTCATAGAAAATAATTGAAATATAATCTCCAGCTAGAAAACACCCAACAGAAGTGGGTTATAACCAGATAGATAGTTCAACTATGACACACTGATAGAGAATATGGAGAGTTTATTTTAAAAATCTGTTTTCTCTATTCATATTGGTAATGGTTATACAGAGACTGCTATGTGTGTAGGTGAGGTAAATCAAATGAGTAATTGTTTTATTTTCTAATGTTATCATCCCCTATTGTCATTGAGAACCAGTATTTCTGGTTTGGCAGAAATGTATACAATTGGTCTGGTACATTTTGTCTTACCAGATAATATACCATCAAGGACTACTAGCATATTCTCAAAATTATTCAGAACCAAATTGAAAGGGCTTCCAGTGGCCAATGATGGACCATCTTAACATTGATGAATATAAGGAAAATTGTTTAAAACACATCAAATATATGTAAATCCAATAATCCATAATTATTCTCTTGAAATACCCTTATTTGTCATCTGTGAAGGATTATAGGCAACCAAATCATTATTTTGTAATCTCTCAGATAAAAAGAAATAATTAAGGGCTTCCTTTACCATTGTACCACAAAGTATCACAATTGTTGATGAAGTGACATTGCTTTAAAACAGTATTCCAGTTAATAAAGAAAGGAAGAATCACAGGAGTACTATATCACATTTCGCAACCTCTAATAATATGTTTTTACATAATTATCATTAATTGCTGTTAACTTTAAAAGGAGCCTTTTTATGGAAATACTCAAAATCTCCCTTTGAGTATTCTTGCTAAAAATGTTGCATATATATATCTAATCAAGCTCATAGGTCCAATTATTGATATACAGGAAATATAGCATAAAAATTAATATTCAAATCTATTTACCATAGGGATACAATCAGCAAAATCAAGGCTGTAGAAAATTTGTTGTGTACAAGTCACACCACCCACTTTATTCAATGAATAAATAAATGACATGATAAAATTGAACATGTAGATTATGAGAGAACTTTAAAAAGTATTAAAAAAAAGGCAGGCAAAATTGAACTGTAGTGTTTGAGTATACATTTGTGTGCTAAAACTATACAGAAAATTATGAAGGTGGTTATCATAAATGTCAGGATAGTGGTCACATTTAGAGGTGGAGGTAGTGGGTTGTGATTCAACAGGATTCAGAGAGGCCTTCTGAGTTGGCCAGCAAATTTCTAATTATTGATTTGGGTGGTGGGTATAAGTGTGTTTCCCTTCTAAGTCAAAAAGCTATACTTTTGTTATATGTGATTTTCTTTATTTGTGCTATATTTTACAATAAAATTTTAAGGGGAAAATTATTAAATTAATTACTGGCCAGGTATTGTCTATACTTTAAAAAAGCTTTTGGCGAAGAGAATTCTCTCATTTACTGAATGAACTATTTCAAAGTTCTAGGCAAACTGGAGACAATCGCTCCATCACCCAAACCAAAAGAGTTTTGTCCAAGGTTAGTCTCTGTGGACACAGCCTGGTCCATTTTCCTCTCTCTTGGGTGGACCTGCTTTCCCCTGAGCCTCAGGGATGATGGTTTGTGAAAATATCCACTCATTATTTCTAATTTTTCTTTTAAAATTCTAAAAGTGAAGCATCCTCTGTTCTTTAACAGAGATAGTACTAAGTTGTAGTCATGCTAATGTTGTCCTGATCAATGCAACTAACCAAGGTGAAAGAAACATCCCAGGTCTTTCCTGCTTCCTTGCTATTACTGACTTTATGTGAATTTGACTACCTAAACCTTGACAAGTTCTCCCAGAGATATTAAGTCTATCCTAAGTTCACAGAATGTCCAAGAGAGGCTCCAGCATGTTTGTAGAGTATTGTCCACGGGTCTCTGCAGATTCAACCTCTCAGTTACTTCTATTCATTGTGAATAGGTATGCACATTCTTTTTATGTGACAGAAAATAACTAAGCCATTACCTAAGGCAAAAAAATGAAGAGGTTTCATAGCTAATAGTTTGGAAACAGCACAGATCTAGTAAAAGAGCAGCAGCCTCAGAATGAAACCATCCAGGATCCAAGCATGTTAGACATAGGACTTTTTTTGTACCCTTAAAATCCGGGGAACACAATTCTTGTTATCAGTCACTAATTTTTATAATATTTTGACTTGTTGTTGGATTTATTTACTACTCAACTCTATGACTTCATCTTGTACCAGCAAGTTGTATTTTGCCAGGATCTTTTTTCTATTTCAGTCTGACCTAAATTAAGGTAATTTACAAACTAGCTCTTGTAGGCTTTGGCTCAAATGCTACAATCCCTTTCCAAGAGTGAGATTCTATTGGCTAGGGTCTTATGTATTTTGTCCATTTCATAGGTCTCAATCGGTTTAATTAGGCTGATACCACAGCCCCATGGCATTGCTACTAACTGAAGAAAGTTTCAACATGACACTGATTCGTTGTTAAAGTAAACCCATTACCAGCAGTGAGTGAGGTTCCAGGCCCCCAAAATGAGGCAGGAAAGCCTGTGGACCTACTGTACTCTGGGGAGGTGTTGGGGAGTAGGGCAGGCACACCCAGATTCCAGTTTGTCAGACGAAAGAAATGATCTGAGTCTAGTGCTTGTGTATGCGATGTACCACACAGTATAGCAGGCCAGCCATTGTCCAAACACCTGCACAAACGCTGTAGGTTGGGCAGCTTCACTGGGACAAAGTTATTCCATACAGACAGCCAGAGTGCTTAATATGAAGCAATGTTATAACACTGTCCTTACACTGTTGATGCCATCAGCGAAACTTAAAGGCTTATGGGGGCCCACTGAAAATGGGAAAATCAGAAGGCCTCTGGGATTTCAAATTAATGAATGATTCAGAATTGCATTTCCTAGGTTCAGCTACGTCTTTGTGTATTTCATGAGTACCTCCCTTGTCAGGAATTTCTTCTTTTTGTTGCTGGGTTTCTAGGTAGTTAACCCACATCATGTCTCCATTTGTTCAATGGGAATTTTTATTTTTACTTTAATCTTTCAGTAGAATTGTAAATCAGATAGGGTTGTCTAGATTTGATCATTAAAGTGGTCAAATTGCTTTTCCAGATTGAATGAACAAAATAACTAATTTTCATTTAAAAAATTTTCTTTTGGACTTAACCCATGACTGAGAACTAAGGAGGCCAGGCGTACGGATGGCAGCGAGGGGTCAATCCATGCCCTGCGCTGGGTCGGCGGTGGAGGAGTCGGAAGTGGTTAGGTTTTGGGGGAGGAGATCCGCTCACACACAAGAGGAGAGGCTTGAGCCGCCATATCTGCTGCCGCCGCTGCAGCTGCGAATGCAGTGCCAGTACTTAGCTGCCTGCGCGCTGCCGCTAAGGTTCGTGTCGCTACCCCTTGGCCCTGCGCTTTCGCTGCTTTCTCCCCCGTCTGCATAGCCCGCTCTTTCTGTCCTGCTGAGCCCGCTCCCTCCCCGCCATCCATCAGGTCCTTAAATGATGGATACGGGTAGCAGCAGCAGCGACTCGGCGCCTGACTGCTGGGACCAGGTGGACATGGAAGCCCTGGGTTCGGCCCCCAGCGGGGACCCAGCCTCTTCGCCGGTGGCGGAGGCCCAGCGTGAGCACCTCAGCGGGGCCTTCAGCCGTCAGCTCAACGTCAACGCCAAACCCTTCGTGCCTAACGTACATGCCGCGGAGTTCGTGCCCTCCTTCCTGCGGGGCCAGACACAGCCGCAGACCTGTCCGACCGACACCACCAGCATCGAGGAAACCTACACCGGCGCGGGCAACCCACAAGGTAAAAGGCTGGGACTGGGGGCACCTGTGGAACATTCCAAAGAGGAACAGATAGTGTTGCATGAAGGTTCCAATTCAGCCGTTACCATGGAAATTTCAGAACCTGTTGTAGAAAATGGAGAGGTGGAGATGGTTCTAGAGGAGTCATGGGAGCACAATAAAGAAATAAGTGAAGCCAAGCCAGGGGATAGTTCATTGGGAGATTCAGGGCCCCCAGAAGAAAGTAGCCAGGAAGTGATGGAGAAAGAGGAAATGAGAAAATCTAAATTTGTGGTCCTACCTTCAGGTGCTCCAAAAAAAGAGCACGTAAATGTGGTATTTATTGGGCACGTAGATGCTGGCAAGTCAACCATTGGAGGACAGATAATGTTTTTGACAGGAATGGTTGACAAAAGAACACTTGAGAAATATGAAAGAGAAGCTAAAGAGAAAAACAGAGAAACTTGGTATTTGTCCTGGGCCTTAGATACAAATCAGGAAGAACGAGACAAGGGTAAAACAGTAGAAGTGGGTCGTGCCTATTTTGAAACAGAAAAGAAACATTTCACAATTTTAGATGCCCCCGGCCACAAGAGTTTTGTCCCAAATATGATTGGTGGTGCCTCTCAAGCTGATTTGGCTGTACTGGTCATTTCTGCCAGGAAAGGAGAGTTTGAAACTGGCTTTGAAAAAGGTGGACAGACAAGAGAACATGCTATGTTGGCAAAAACAGCAGGGGTAAAACATTTAATAGTGCTTATTAATAAGATGGATGATCCCACAGTAAATTGGAGTAGCGAGAGATATGAAGAATGTAAAGAAAAGCTGGTGCCCTTTTTGAAAAAAGTTGGCTTCAGCCCCAAAAAGGACATTCACTTTATGCCCTGCTCAGGGCTAACTGGGGCAAATATTAAAGAGCAATCAGATTTCTGCCCTTGGTACACTGGATTACCATTTATTCCGTATTTGGATAACATGCCAAACTTCAACAGATCAATTGATGGACCAATTAGACTGCCAATTGTGGATAAGTACAAGGATATGGGCACTGTGGTCCTAGGAAAGCTGGAATCAGGATCCATTTTTAAAGGCCAGCAGCTTGTGATGATGCCAAACAAGCACAATGTGGAAGTTCTTGGAATCCTTTCTGATGATGCTGAAACCGATTATGTAGCTCCAGGTGAAAACCTTAAAATCAGACTGAAGGGAATTGAAGAAGAAGAGATTCTTCCAGGATTCATACTTTGTGACCCTAATAATCTTTGCCATTCTGGACGTACATTTGATGTTCAGATAGTGATTATTGAGCACAAGTCCATCATCTGCCCAGGTTATAATGCAGTCCTGCACATTCATACTTGTATTGAGGAAGTTGAGATAACAGCCTTAATCTCCTTGGTAGACAAAAAATCTGGAGAGAAAAGTAAGACACGGCCCCGCTTCGTGAAACAAGATCAAGTGTGCATTGCCCGTTTAAGGACAGCAGGAACTATCTGCCTTGAGACATTCAAAGATTTTCCTCAGATGGGTCGTTTTACTTTAAGAGATGAGGGTAAGACCATTGCAATTGGAAAAGTTCTGAAACTGGTCCCAGAGAAGGACTGAGCAGTTTTCTTGGTGCCCCTGCACAATACTGTGAGAATTGACTATAAAAGTTCACTACCATCTCTTACTTTCTGACCATTGATAGACTTTTATCCATATTTTGCAAAGAAAAATTTCACAGCAAAAATTCATGTTTTGTCAGCTTTCTCATGTTGAGATCTCAGTTGTTTTACTGATGAACTTACCCACAAGTTTCCTCTTCCTATACCATTCTGCTTCATTGGACAGAATCAGTAATAGCTTTGTAAGTGATGTGGATGTAATTGTGTATAACAATGAAAAATTAATATATTTTTTAATTTTTCATTTTCCCTTAGGAAATTTAGTCAACCCTTGTTCATGCAGACCAGAGTGTGTCAGTGTGTGTATATGTTAAAAAGACAAGTAACATGTGAATAAAATATTCCATTTGAAACTGTTACTAGTATTTGAAATGATTTTGAATTCTCTCTGAATTTGTATACAATACTTTGCAATTAGCTTTTTTACTTTCTGAAGTCATTGAATACATTTTATTGGGCTTTTAAAAACTGGTCTCCACTCACTATTTTAGACCAGGCATTTACAAACAATGCATAGGTTTGTATTAAAGGAAAAATTTTAATTTTGAAAAAAATTTATTTTAGAACTCTTCCCACTGAACTTTGTTTTCTGTGTACAAGTCTAGTCAACAAAGGAGCTCTTCTGCTTTCCCACTTGTGATTTGAAAAAAGAAAGGCTGAAGCCATTTGTCAGGTCCCCTGATGTTGAACATGGCCAAATTACCAATTTACCTGGGGATTCAGACCATATGTTGACTAGACTCTTATCTGTACTCCATCATCTTAACATACCCCTTTGTTTTCAACATGAGACTTGGGATGTAGGACACAACACAATAAGGGGCATGACTACCGATAAGATAAATGCTTTCAGTAGGGCTGCAAGTCATTTACTGAGGGTCCTGAGATTGGAAATGAAGAGACCATTTCATCCTTCTTCAGTGCTTGGGGTTAGTAGGAAAGGTGAAAGGTCATTTTGACAACTGGATTATAAACCACCTTTGGGGTCAGAGATATTGGACTTCTCTCTTAACAGCAGATTGAGGAAAACACCAACTGTGGATCCTGGGGTGGCTACTGTTATTGCCAGGAGAGTGGCCTTATAACCTGCATAACTATCAACAGCTGCAAGAACGTTTAGTCTTGGTAAGTGGGTAGTGGCCCAGTGGAAACACCTGCCCAATGATGGGCAGAACTAATTCCTCACACTCCTGGGCTGGCTGAACAGGGGTGGAGACTGTTGCCAGAACACCCAGGGCCCATGCTGAGGCAAACGTGGTGTCTCCTTCTCCATGGTCCCCTTGTGCACCCATGAAACTCCAGGATGTCTAATATGTCAGAGATAACTACTGGTCTTGTCAGAGCATCAGTAGCATGGTCTTGTGAATCACCCAACAAAGATACACAGGGCACCTACATGGGAAATGAGGATTTTTATTCGGTTGTATGTCAGTTAGTCTAAACCACAGGGATGTGCCTTGTTGTCTTGGACCTAGTCCTTTAATAATTAGAATGTCAGTGGCAAGAGTTTCATCTTTATTTTAGAGTTCCTTCTCTTGCCTCTGTGCTCCGAACTTGGTGCAAAATACAGGCTAATCCAGTGTTTGCTAAAAATTTTGCCCTGGCGGCCACTTATTAAAAAATATATTTCTGCTGCTGCATCAATTTTATTGTTTTGCAATTTTAGTAATTTACCAGTGGGATTATTATGGATATCCTTCACTAATAGACCAAAGCCACAAGGCAGGACAGAACTCTTTTTCTCCATTTAATTTGGGTAATTTCCCATCAAAGACTGCCTCTGAAATGTCTTTCTCATTAGCCAGTTGTGTAGCAATTTCTTCATCAGGGGCTCTAAACTGTGTTTTAAAAAAAATACTTTCAGAGAGCAGGACATGAGCCTTTGTGAATAGATTTTGGAAACCAATTTTTTTCAACAAGAAGCAGATCATCCAGGTGATTGGCAACACCACACTCTGGCTCTGTTGGAAAGTAGATGTAAACTTAGGTAACTTCTTTCTAACTTTCTGAGTACCTTCCTTTATAGTTCTCAATGTCTGGTGGTAGTCTCTAAATACTGCAAATTGGGACCATTCACAAACATAGTACTGGTTTCCCAAGGACATTCAAAGTAGTGTCCCTTTAGAGGTCCCTTATTGCTTCCAATTCAGACCTACTTAATTGAACTGTCCTCAGACCTTCAACTCTAATCCCTGGCAACCATGATAATATAGGAACTCCCCAAGTCTGATTGCTTGCTGTAAATACATTATGGACTTAATGCTTCAGGCTTTCTCAGTACAGTAAGTGTTTACATGTTGGCTCTTGGAAACTTTTCTCCCAAGTTTCTTTTATTTTTCTGGTCATTATGGGACAAATTTGAGGAGATTAAGGGAAAGGGGCCAACTTATTCTGCAAAGACCCAAGAAGGAAAGCAGAAAGTTCGGGCTGGGTAGAAGCTAGTGGACATCCACATTGCTCTGACGATCTTTATCTGGTACCTAGAACAAATTGCCAGTGCTTTTAATATCTACTATGGTCACTGTTCCTGTCTTCAAAAGACAAATCCTTTCTCAAAGTAGACTTTCCTTTCTCAATGTAGTTCTGGTTTACTAAAATGCAAGACCGTCCTCTTCTAAAAGTTTACTTATAAACATTTTGTAGTACAAATATTCAATTCATTTTAGTTAAAATGAACTGTTTAGCAACAGGGAGATGATTAGGTATCACTTCATGGGCGTTAAAAAAGAAACAATCCAACCACCACAGGAGTTCCACCAAAGCCTGAGCATTTGAATATGTTCATTGATCCAGTGCCTGTTTTTATGTTCATCATGGTTCTTGCTATAGTTTCTGTTAAGACTATTGGCATATATATATTTGTTCTAGTTTTAGTTATAATATCTTCTAATGATTGGACCTGGGGGGGGGTGTGAAGAAAAATTTGATCCAAAGTTTTTCACCAGGGATACCACTAACTCCACAGAGTGGGGAATGTGACTTGCCTTAGAATTTGAGAATATGAGAGTGGGTGCGTGTGCGTGCGCATGCGCATGTGCGTGTTTGTGTTAGTTAATGTTTACAGGATCACCAGAACCAAGGGAAGGGGAAAAGAAAAAAAAGAACCTACTGTATGAGCATGCCATGTATGAGAAACAAGAAAAATAGAGAAAGCTTCGCTTACATAAAAGGGCACAGTTTGACACCAGGTTGTTTTTAGAGGAAATTTGTCTAAATTCTAGGAGAATTCTCTTTTCCTTCACTTACCCTTAAAAAATTTGTGTAGTTTTTTAAATCAGTGGATGAAAGGTTCAGGCTCTCAGAATCAGACATCAATCACAAGGGGTTTCAGCAAAACCTCTTATTTTCTATTCAGATTAATATTAAGCAATCAGGATTTACATACAGAGATAATTTGCAGGCATTTCTCAGCCCCCGATGAAGGTTATTTTCTCTTTGATTGTTGAACTTCTTCAAAAGTCCAGCTGGAGGATACTGAGAAGATATTTTAGTTTTAGCATGAGTGGAACAAAAAAAAAAATCTGTCCAAGTCTGGCTGCTGTACACAACCATGTTACTGCATCTCTCACTTGATATGACAGATATCCACTATGTGTTCTGTTATAGCTCTTCCACATTTGAGGCACTGAGTAAAAGGCTTCCTCTAGTCTCTAACAGAGACTTAGATTAATTCTCTCCTGAGATTGCTTTTATAGCACTACCACAGTCCATCAGTGACCTTTGGCCACACCAGTAAATTTACAGAAGAAGAACACCTTGTCACATGGCAAATGACTAATGAAGATCCCAAATGGCTTCTGCAGGTTTAGCTGTCAGTCCCTGGGTTAAAAGTTAATGTTTGATTTCTACCTTTCCATTTCTTTGTGCACCCTGCTTTAATTGATGCTCATATCATATATATTATTTAGCTTTCTAAACTACATTAGCTTCTTTTACCAGTTGGGTAGGGTATAAGTGAATAGGTGAAATAAAATGTATTAAACACTTTTAAACATCTAAAGACTTAGATCCTGAGTGATGGTAATGACGTAATGGTCCATTCCCATCTGTATTCTTCAGTACGTGCTAAACCAAAAAGAACTCTGGTCTGAAAGGAAACATATGCTGCATCCATACATTTCCCATATTTAAAAAGGGAACACAGCCCTGGCTGGTGTGGCTCAGTGGATTGAGTGCTACCCTGCAAACCAAAGGGTTGCCAGTTCGATTCTTAATCAGGGCACATGCCTGGGTTGTGGGCCAGGTCCCCAGTTGGGAGCATGCGAGAAGCAACCACACATTGATGTTTCTCACCCTCTCTGTCTCCTCCCTTCCCCCTTCTCTAGAAATAAATAAAATCTTTAAAAAAGGTATGGGAGGACACAAGGTTTGAAGGACAGTAGATTTAGCTAAGGAGGTCCTAACTTTAAAGGATGGTGATTCAGGATGGATGAGAGGAGGCTTCACAAGATCCTCGTGGTGAGTAAAATGTTGCAGTGACCAAAAGTTAACATAACACAAGAAGAACTGTTTGCCTCTATGGATAGCACAGTATTCAAGACCTGGAGAGAAGTTGGGGGCATGAGAAAGGTCATATTGCTTTTCCAGCAACATGTGAGCTGGGCCGGCAGGTAGCTAGGGGACCAATGTACAACACACACATTCTGTAAGACAAAGAGGTCAAAACTGCTGGTAACACTGGCAGCATGGGAGCCAGCTAAGGATGGTGACATTGCCAAACCTCACAAACCCACAAGTATGGGTGTGAGGCTCTATACTATCTACCAGTGCTTGACTGAGTGAGGTCAAGATAACACAGATGACCTGAGTGTGCATACCGGTAACAGCTGCAGCAACAGGCAAATTCTGCTCTGGGCCACCCTAGTGCCCCTACCTCTGTCAGAAGATCCCATCATCAGAAACATTCAGAATCAAAATATGTCCACTTGACATGGCCACTGGGGAGAAGAAAAATAGAACATGCCTAGTATAGTGCTGAACAAATAGTGGATCTCTTGTTCTTCTCCTATTTATGTTTCTGACAGTGATCTTGGTAACCCAGTTAAGGGACTATGACCCATAAC